CCAGTGGTGCTGGGCAAAGCCCTAAGTGAGCAAAAAAACTTTCAAATAAGGTTTGGAGAGTTTTCTGGCTTAGCTAATGAGGCCTGATTCCTGTTCAGTGCTCATTTGGGGATCATTCTGCTAATAATTGTTCTCGGCTTGGCAGTCAGACAGAGTGAGGCTAAGGACTCACTTTGGATGGGGGAAGAGACAGATCTTAGAGGGATTTACCTAGAGAGCACATTCCAGTGGAGTTAAACTAATAGCAAAATCAGGGAACATTGGCCCTCTATTTTTATCTCTGGTATGACATTTGACATAAGTTTCCTTCGGGCACTAGACAACAACAAAAATCTGGAACAAAAGCTAATAAATACCCTCCTTTCTTAAAACACAACTTAAACTACATGGTTTAACTCTTCTGACAGTGCTTGATAGATTTCTCTTTCATTAAAGAAACTCCTTAAGAACCTTGTTCTCCCCTCAGATTTTTTTAATGTATTTAGGTTTGTTGTTCTAGACAGACAAAATAACCTATCTCAGAGGCTAACACTGTCAAAGAATAAAGGATGGTTATGAACACCACTCCTCACTGGACACCCTTTTCTGATGCACTTGGAGCTGGGTTGCATGTCTGCACAGACATGTTTGCACTCTCCCCTTCCTGCAGAGTAGGAAGTGTGTTTTTCAGGTGGAAGTGGAAGAGGGCACAGGATGTTTTCAGGATTTTGGTGTTCCAGGCTGATTTTGAAGGTCCCCTTTGGAATTCAGGGACATGTATGGTGTGTAGTACTTGTGCAGTACAGTAGGATATCTGGAAAGAGGTACTGAAACCAAAGAAATTCTTTCCAGATATCTGGAAAGAGTACTGGAACCTTTGGGTGATGAGTGTTGAAGTGGAGAGAAGTCAAGCTGAACATGGACCCCACTTAGCAGAATTCGCTCTGATTTCCTGCAGAAAGTCCAGCATAGACAAAAAGGGGTGGGCTCTTACATAATGGGAATTAGAGACCTTGCAGATTGAGCAGTTTGGTTTGTTCTGATAATGGGCCCATCTATAAAATTCATACTTAGTTCTGGCATGAGTGCTGAGACTGTTCCCCAACAGAGCTCATACCTTTTCCTAGAGCAGCCTGTGACCGTGGCGACAATCCAATAGCCCTTGGCATTACTTTGTGTGTGATGCCTGGGAAGGAGCCAATGCCAACACAACTAGCAGACAAGCAGGGGTCCTGGGGGGAATGAGGGAGCACTAATTTTTTCATGCTGGGCTTGCTGGCCCTACAGTCAAGGGAAGGTTTTGCACTTTTGCAGAGGAGGCTGCAATAGACTTCCACTAATTTTTTCATGCTGGGCTTGCTGGCCCTACAAAAGTTTTGCATTTTTGCAGAGGAGGCTGCAATAGACTTTGATTCATTCAGATAAATAATGAAATAAATGAATGACAGTGAGTTCTATTAACATCGGGTTTAGGGTCCTACAATTGCTTTGTGAATTTGAGCTTTAGATATTAGGCAGAAATGGATGTTCATATGACTTGAAGGTATAGACCAGCCCCAGGTGCTCTTTATGGATTTTACTAAAAGGAAAAAAGTGAGCAAGCATATGCTTATCAAGCACATTATTAGGCTAATTTACTGCAGTTTCATGAAACTAATTAAAGAAGAACAAGACAAGGATGAAAATAAGGTCACAATTAAGACTGAATCTATAAATCACTGTATTCAGCAATTTAATACAGCAAGTAATTTAACTGAATTATGAGTTTGGCATAAAAAAGAATTACTTTTTGTGTGAATCCTGTTCAGGTAGGTAAAGGAGACTCATCTCTATTTGAACCAAAGCATACAATTCATTTGCTCTCGTGGATTAATGCATTGACTTTGCTAGTGAGAACTTGAAAGCTTGATCCATTGTGGGCAGAAGCCTGTAGGATCTGGGCACCAGATCTGCTCTTAGCCCCCTAGCCCCTCGCCTGGGGGTGTTGCTTAGTGCAGACAGTTCCATTCAACACCCTGCCCTTGAATATCTCTGTGCTTATGTGGTTTTATTTTGGTCCTTATTTCTCTCTTCCGAGTCTATGCAAATACAAAGGGGCCTGTTCTCACCTTCCTAGAAAGGCAATGACAAAATCAAACTGTGGGATGCACACACTCAAGAAGAAGACATTTGACCTGCTAGAGTCCTTTTTTGCAAAGGAGAGGTGCGGGTATATTGAGTGATTCCTTGATGGCTTTAAGTGTTGTCACAGAAACCAAGAGATCATTTTAAGATACAAATTTTATTCTGAAAACTTTGGAAATGTTGCTTGCTTCACAGTTAGAAGCAGGATTTTAAAAACTCTTATGTATTCTATGACGAAATTAAGTGTATTGGATATAGATAGATTTATATTCCTTCAAAGATTCAACAGCATATTCCAAAATCACCAAACTGACAGCGAAAAAAAGGCAGATGAATGTAAACCATTCCACCATAAATAAATTAACAACTGCTAAAAAACCCCCAAACAAACATTTCTGTGTCAAATATCCTTTTACTTTGAATTCCAGAATTTGAAGGAAGGGAAAACTCTCTAAAGTGAAGTGAACATATCTTCCAGGGCTGATATATAATCTCTCAGTGTCTTCTTCACTGTGTTTCTACTGGACTGTTTTGAAATATTAGCTCTCAAAGTAAGGACCATTGCTTGTGAGATTTTAACTGTTGTAAAAATAAGTTAAATTTATCTTAAGGTATTTGACTGTCTTATGGCATTACCTTCTATCAGCCATCCTAGTCCAGGACAAGTCTGGGACTGCTGGAGCTTACTTCCCTTTTGACATTTCAGGATTTGCTGCTGCTTGTGCCACTCTTTCTTCTCTTATTGCATTATTAAACACTATATGGGAAAGATAATACGTTAACAGTAATAAAGCCCTGATGAACTGGCCAATTCATCTAGTAGCCAAGTATTAATTTTAAATGTTTCTCTTCATTAAGAGGTCTTCAAGAATTGCAGCGTAGTAGATTATTTTTCCAGAACACTTGAGATTATGCCCTTATGGCAAATTTCATATAAAAATGAATGAAAATTATATGAACCATCAACTTTTAATAGTTATACCCTACTCCTAGTGACTACCAACAGCTCTGGCTTCATCTTTCCCAGACTGACACTGCAGTGGAAGATTCCCATTGACCTGTGTGTTGGCAATAGAACTGAGAGTCCAGGCGTGTGTGTGGTGCTGACAGGTGAGAAGCACCGGCAGAATGTAAAAACAACACAAGTTTGAGCACTAGCCAATGTTGTCAGAAGGAACTGGAAACCCAGTGGTTTTTCTCAGCCAGCACTGTTCAGCAACAGGGCCTGTTTGCAGCTGATCCACTTTTAAATGTGACCCCTCTCTGGGAGGCTGGATTCGTTTTCTTACATTTCATTCTTTTGGCTTCTACCCCCAGAATATCGCTCACTTGGTGGTGCTCACCCGCATCTTACTGCAATCCCCCTAACAGACAGGCAGCTACATATTGTTCAGGGCAGCCCTTGCCATCTTGTGGGTGAGAAGTCCTTTACTTTTACCCTCCAGAGTGTCTTCCTGGGCATGAAAGGGGTGAATGTGGGCAATGGGTTTCTGACAGCACATGGGTGCAGCAAGGTCTTCTGAAGGTCATGCTGCTACAGCAGGAAAGACACAAACATGTGAGGGAAACAAACCACAAGGAAATAATGAGTTTTAACCCCACATGTCTCCTTTTGTCAGCATAGTAAGGTTACCAAAACTAAAGCTTCAAATCAGTGCCAGTGTGTGATTTTTAATGGAACCCTGACCTCTCTCAGATAAAAGGAATTGAAAATTAATTGATTTTCAAGGCAGGATTTGGTGAGAGACAAAGAATGGCTTTGGGGTTTTTTTGGACCCAGTGTACTGAAAAAAAGAATTTTGAAGCGTGATCATCAGGTTTGTTAAATTGCAGGGCTGTCCAAGGTATCTGATATTGATGCCCCTGCCTCTAACAATATTGCTCTCAAGAGGTCAGCAGTGGTGATTTATTGACTTGCAGCAACTGAGAGGTTTAGTCTGGATAAATTCCTAACTCAAATACACCTTCAGAGAGGTGGAATGACCTGGGAAAATGTGAAATTATCTAAAATAATTTATTGTTAATTGTCTCTTAACCTTGGAGTGTCTCAAATTTCTTTCTAACTCAATGGGATTGAAATGAAAAAAAAAATAAAGGAAAACAAAAGGATAGATGAAGGTTCTACAGTCTGATGCTTTAATAAAAATTCCACTCCTGGGTGAAATTGGAACTGTCAAGGAGCAGTGAACTCTGTAACTGGTATTGCATTGGGTGTATTCTGGCCCAACACCAGCTCCTTTGATTTCAACAGTTCCTGAAGATTGCTCTAGTTTTAAATTAGATCAGAGATACAGAGAAGCTTTAATGTTTGTCACTTATGTATCTTATTAGTACCAGGCAGATCTCTGAAATAACGTGGCCCAGAAGAATTTTTTTGTTCCCATTTATTCTTCCTCTGCAGGCAAATGTATTAATAAGACAGAAATGAATGCAGTGACGGAGCTACAGGTAAGTGCCACGTTACTGCGTCAGAAGAGAAGACCTGCTCCCATGTCTGGGTTTATGGAGAGCAAAAATAGCTGCAAATCAGTCCATCTGTCAAACTCACCTTAGTTAGGAAATGCCTGTGAGTTTTTCAGGAGGCTCCACAAGCTTCAGTTGGTCTTGAAGCCTCAGTTCCTGGAACCCTGTGATTATGCCAGGCTCGCTCCTTGCTTTAGTTGAAAAAAGGTGAGTTTTGTTTTAAAATATGGGTGCATTTTAATTTTTGTGATTCTTGCAATGGTAAGAACTGACATGATTTTTTTAACAACTCCTCTTTCTCTGCTAGCCACTCATCTAGTGCAGGCCAGGGCACAGTTCGCTCTGTGTTGTGCTCTGCCAGCTCCTTCAGCTTTGTGTCCAGCTGTCATCCCCAGAGCTTCTCCACCCAGGACCGCCTGTGCTCCGAGGGCTCACAGCTTCTGCGTGGTGTGAAACCTGGTTCCCTCCTCTTACCTCTCCACTGGGCACGGGCTTGCTTGCAGCCACACCAGGAGCCCTCTGCCTGCTCGGTCTCAGCTCAGCAGCTCTCGGCAGCAAGCACCACCCATGGTCAAGCCCTGTCCTGTGGGAATCACTGCCAGAGTCAGAGAGGTGAGGGAGAGCGTGCCAGCAAAGATTCCTGCGAGGAAACAAAGCTTGTGCTGGTTGTGTAGGCAAGGTGCTGGGCCTGAGCTGATCTGTGAGTGTGCTGACAGATGGCCTGACTTGAAATACTCTCTCCAAATTCCATTAAGCCCCGGGAAGGCAGCGGGCAGCTCACAGCCGTGAGGAAGTAAGTGGTTTCTTATTAACCAGCCCCCACGCTTCCCAACCCCTGCTAACAGCAGCTGGTGGAGTGTCTTTTCTGGATGTCAGTTATCTCTGTCCATCTGGCAGGTACTTTCAAGCCTGCCAAGATGAGTATAAATAGAAAGGCTTTTAGGGAAGAAATGGCAGACCTCCACTGCAGACCCTGTGTGTGCTGGGTTTTGAGGGGTCTTGGTGGCTTTTGCTTCAAAGCAGTGTTTTACCATGGATGTTTTAGTATTGGCATAGATGAGAGAGTTTTCTTTAAAAAGAAGGGAATTACTTTCTTCAAGAGAAATTTTTGAGGCTGTTGTCTTACCTCATTTTCAAATGCTGTAAAGAATGATCCTCAAAGCTAGATAAAAGGTTTCTTCTTATTTTATTTTTTTTTTCACCAGAGAAATAAAGACTGAGGCAGTGGTTTCAGATTAGGATCAGAGGGACAGAGGTTTTTTAATTTAGAGCCCCAAAATGAAGTTTAAAGGAAACTGAATTTACATTTTGTGGGATTTGAATGTTGCAACCAGAATCTTGTTTAAGCACCAGCAGAGTGCAGTATTAAAAGGAGAGAGGCACCATGGTAGAGATATTTTTAATGTTCTTCTCTGCCCACACCTTTCAGGACATCATCTAGAAGAACACCTTATTCTCAGTTGTAGATCTTCTCTTGACCAGACCATACTCAGATTTGGCAATAGTGGTCCCGTGAGGCTGGAGTGTTGGCAGGTAAGTTAAATGTCAGTAGGTTGAGAAGGCTGCTGGCTAGAGATCTTGGGTTCTGAGAGTGGATGTAGCACTTCATTTCCACCCAAGCATTGCAGTGCCTGCCTGCAATCCATTGCTTGGTGTAACCCTCTGTTGTTGTTATGATTACTTTGTTCATGTCGAGGTATCTCCAATGCCATGCTCTATCCCTGAGCTAGTGGTGTAAATTCCTCCTGAGGACTCTTATGAGATGAGCACTTTGTCTGGTTCTGACATGAGCTGCTAAAGTTGGGTGAGGTAACTCGTATCCAGTCCCTAACTCAGAGGGGAGACATGAGTTACAGATGTTACAGCAATGGAAGTTCAGGTTCTTATGGTGGAAAGACAACACGAACTACCTTGTGAGCGCTGGTGTTTCTAGGTGGATTTTAAAATGAATATTCTCTATAATAATGCAAACTGGGAACTAACTAGTACTGACTTCCATGGCTGATAAAGCACAGGGAAAAGCTGAGTTTTGCCTTTTGGGCAGAAAGCTTTGTTGACTTTTCCTGGTTCAAGTGGGCAAATACTGGTGGGAGAAGTTGGGAAAACTGTGAGAAAAAGCAGGAGGAATTGGAAGATGCAGCTTAACAAGATGAATACAGATCCCACTTGAATGAGTGGCAAAAACTACCCCTTTTTCATCTGACTGCCTGGGCAGTCAGCACTGGGTCCCCTTCAATGGAGAGCATGCTGTCTCAGCCATTGTGTGTCAGCCAACAGATAATTGTTGTGTGCTCATAGATTGTGTATTTCTTTACTGTGTATGGATATTCTTATTGTGGTGACAGTTCCAGGGTGCAAAGCTAATCCTGAGGGTTGAGGTTTTGGTGAATGGTGTGAATATCTTTGTGATTTCTGTCAGTTGCAATGAAAATATTTGACAGAATAATTTGTGTTTTCTAAAGTGGGCAAAGTGGGCTTGTTGATAGCAAGTGATAAAATAGAGTGTACCCTACAGCACAAGTTTGTACACTTCCTTATCTTTCAATCAAATATGACTGTAAGATGTCCTCTCCTGATGATCAGGAGAAAATGTCAGAAAATGTCTGAGGATCTTGGAGTAGGTAACACTACAAGGTAGCGGTGAGATGTGTTTCAGGATAAGTGGGCTTGTTGATAGCAAGTGATAAAATAGAGTGTACCCTACAGCACAAGTTTGTACACTTCCTTATCTTTCAATCAAATATGACTGTAAGATGTCCTCTCCTGATGATCAGAAAAAAATGTCAGAAAATGTCTGAGGATCTCAGTGGAGTAGGTAACACCACAAGGTAGCGGTGAGATGTGTTTCAGGACTTGCAGCAACGTGGAGCATGTTCTCGTCTCATGAGAACAATTAGCTGTCCTCACGCTCACATTTAGTAGTGTCTTTTGCTTTAAGTATCTCACCTGTGGGATTTTATTTACCCTCCCTCTGTATGAAATATTCTTTGTCTCCTCAGAGTCCCTGGTACATATATGCCTGTCAAAACCCCACTGTGTTTTTTATCAGGAGATCTTTTTTCACTTGGGATACCCATGCAGCTGTTACGCTGCTGTCTGCTGGGTGAAAAGATAAATCCTCCAGCCAGAGAATCAGCAGCTTAATTGTTTATTTTCAGTATCATCTTCTGGAGGCTGAAGGCATAGCAGGGGCAGTAGCCGTGCCGGCTGCTCGCTCTGCAGAGCGCTTGCGAGCGCTGGCAGCGTGGGCGGCACGCGGCCAGCCGGGCTGCCCTTTGGCAGCGTGGGGCTGTCAGATGGATGGGGTGGCATGTGGCCTCCGTGCTCCAGTGCCCGGGGAGCTGGCTCGGAGCACGCTCCCAGGCACGCGCTCGCCTTCCATGGATTCAGCAGGCTGCTTGCTCCCGTCTGTCTGTCAGAGCTCGTGGGCTTCTCTGGGCAGCCCCTGCCAGGACAGCATGAATGAAACTCTGGTAATTACTACAGCATGACTTCACTAGAGCCATATTGCTGGGGTTCATCTCCAGCTCATTAATTAAATAGTTGCCATGGTGACGGTTGCCTTGGCAGCATGAAATCCTTTCTCCTTCTTTCCCCCTCCTCCTCTCCGCTTCACAGGGTTTCTCATTCATAGCCTTGTGTTTTATATGAATGAAACCAGAGGGAATCACGGGGCTAGGCAGAGAAGTACTTGAGGAAACATAATGCCTGTTTTCCACCACTCCTGTCACCTTGTGGGCATGAATGAGCACTCAGCCCTGTACCCATGTTTTGCTTTTCTTGTGTACATAAAATCTGCCTCACAGCCGTCCTGTTTTTTTCATTTGTTTTTTTTAGGTCAAATCCTCATCACCCTGAGCACCTGTGTTATTCTGGGGTCCTAGGACCGGCTCCTCTCATTTTCACTGCTGCAAGGGAAGGACTGGGCACTTCATTTGCAGTCCAACTGCAGAGCCTTGGCAGTCTTCCAGAGCTGAGATTTTGCCCATGTGGGTTTTCTGTGCTTGATTAAATCACAATATTTCCTCTGGCTCTGAAGCCAGAAATCACCATTAGCTCTTCAAGACTGGCCACCTGCATAGTCCAAGATCAGGGACTCCCTTCCAATGGCTTCTGCTTTGTGCCTGAAAGTTCTGGTGGAGCTGTGATTTCCTTGTCAGAAGACAACTCATCTTTGTATAGATGTTACTTGTGATGGCAAACACTTATGCTGTGTTTGTCTTTCCAGGTGTTTTAAGCATCCCTTAATGTTAAGAATCTGCTCCCCCAGTGTGCTTGGTGAGTCTTGTTTGGCATTACTTCTCTTTCATGGTCTTTTATTGCTTGTGGGCACTTTGTTATGACACCTAGCAGCTGTCTTCTTCACAGAGTTTGGATCCTTCCTAGTCCCCATGGATCCAGATGGTTGGTTGATGATTTGCCCTGAGCTCACCATTCTGCCCACATCTTACTGAAGATATTTAGAAAAGAAAATAATCCTCAGTGGATAGCAAGATGTGTCTGCATTCATTTCGTTCATTCATTCTGTTTTCATAGCACAAAATTGAGAGCATGTGGTTTGTAGAACACTGTGAGGAAGTACAGCCTGTTGGGACAGTGTCAGAGGAGCACACAGGTCCCAGAGCCTGAAGTGACCTTGCCCATAGAGGTGTTGGGAGTGGTCACTGGTGGGTGCTGTCCTTTGAGCCACGTCATTGGGAACGCCGCAGTTGGAATGGGCCAAAATCACACCTGTAGTGTAAGAATGGTTGGGTTGTTTGCATGATGGGGTCTCTGGAGTTTATCTTTCTCCCTGACTCTGTTTTGTATAAAACTCTAGATGCCACATTAGAAGTGGGGGTAAAATTTAGCCCATGGGATGGATTATCCCTTGGATCTTTACTACCAGGCTTCACCCAACTTTGTCTTAAGCACTTGGTGGTGGCAGTGCTCTGAAGGAGGTCTCTCAGCAGATGGAGCTGGGGGCTGAGCAAAATTGAAAATCCATATGTTTTTGACTTGGCCCTACCCAGAAATGTGAAAAATTGCCAGGGCTGTGCATCAACTGTGTTTTTTCCAGCTAAAATTCTCTCTGTGTTCTCTCTGAAAGGACTGCGTGTCCTTTCAGAGATGCATAAAACTTTCCTGAAAGTGCCATAACAACTGGGACATCAGGCAAAGGACAGGACCTGCCTGTCTGGTAGCTCACAGCTGTCACACATGGCTGTGTTGGTTTTGATGTAAGGCTTGTTGAGCACAGATATGAGGACAAGCAGAGCCAGACCATATCTCTATTGTATTTGGCTGCCAAAGTGCTTTCAGCCCATCTGAGGGTAAAAGAAGGACCCTAGTTTTCTCACTGCCTGTGAGTACTGTATGAGTGACTAGGAAATTCTTAGCTCTGTCTGACAAAATGTCCTGAGCTAGAGAGGAAAAAACTGACATGGTTCTGGCCTGCCCCTTTGTAGGTTGTTACTTGGTTCCTCACTGTGGTTTTCCTTCCTCTTCAGTTTTCTGCACTAATTTTGTAATAACAGTTAGCGCTGGATTTCATAACACAGACATACAACATGCAATTAGAAATTGCTTTGTGTGAAATAAAGTAGCTGTGAGTCATATCCAGACAAGTGAATTATCTGTGATTATTCAGCCAAGAAGGGAGAGAGTGGTAAGCAGAGGAATGCACACCAAGGGCTACACAGTATTATTAGCATTTCCATACTATTAGGAAGCGTAAGGAAGAAAGCAGTATTATATACTATGGCAGGGTTTTTTGGGATGTCTGTGTATAAACATCCATGGGATCATGTCCTCATGGGGAGGAACAGGTGATTTTCTTCTGATCCTAAGAGTTGTGCATCCAAAGGACGGGCCAGTGACATTGCGAGGTCTTTCCCTGTCTCTAAAAAGAAAAAAAAAGGGGGTAGGGGAAGATACATATATATCTTTTAGAATTCTAAATTTATGTGAAGCAAATCTTGTATATGAGGACACAGCCTAATGGAGAACTAAGATTTCTTCAAAGGGAGATGGAAAAAATAAATTACCAGCACAGCTCTTGTTTGATATATCTATTGGATTGGCTTCTTTTTGTCCTCTGGGAATGAAAGGTCATATTATGAAGGGGCCTTGGCTGTGCAGAAACATCTGGGAAACCTTTTGGAGGGAGGGGTTGCTGGCTTTTTGAAACAAGGTGGCTTTTGCAGTGCTCTCCCAGTGTGTTATTTATTGCCAGGTAGGCAGCTTAGGAGCTGGGTCTGCAGTCCGGGGCGCAGGCAGGGGGCAGTTTGCATTTCCTGAGTGTCAGGGAATCAGCCAGTGAGAGAGACAGTGACAGCAGGGGACAGTGTGGGCAGGGAGCGTGCCAGCTGCTGGCTCTGCACAGTTGCACACTTGTCGTGGGAAGGGTGATCCCTTTTGGAGGTGTGCCTTGAAACTGGAGGTCCTTCTGCAAGGTGAGAGGTACCAGGAAGAGACTGACAGCACTTGCTAAAGAGCATCTTTACAGTCCTTGGGGCATTGCTCCGACTGCCCAAAGAAGTTTGTTTTCCATCCATTGCAGAGAATCAGTTGACCCTTCCCCAGCCAGTCACAAATGCCTCCATCTGTAAAATGACAGTGAGAAATGCTTAATCTTCCAAGATGAATCTAACAGATGCTTCTCCCAGGAAATGAACTAAAGGTTGCAGCTTTGCTTGAGCGATTGTGAGTCAGGTATGAGTCATTTCTCCCTTGAAGGGCATCTGGATGTGCTTTGCTGATAAACACACAAAGAGCACAAAGCCTGGGGTGAAAGGTTATCCCGGGAAGGAGAAACTAGAAAAAAACAAAAAACCACGAAAAAGCCCTCAGTGTACCCAGAACCTTCCTCTGTGGCCCACAGGATGCATTAGCTGTGGGTTTTAATGACATTGTTTCTCAACTTCCATTGTATACTAACTTGGAAAAAGCTGAGAGGAGCCTTCTGTTATAATGGAATTTGGATATTAGTGTTATATCTACTGTTTCTGTGGCTTCTGATTGCTGCAGGTGCATTGAACCCAGGGAAGTGGGAATTGTGGAAAAAGTACACCTTCAGCTGCTTTTCCACACCAAAGCAAGGTGGTCTGAGTACAGATTAGAGTCAGAGAGTGATAGTGCAGAGTGTCCAACACCTCAGTAACTGATCTGTATGAAAAAATAGTAATTTACAGGAAATAATGTAGTACTGGCTGGCTTTGCAAAGCAATCATAAATTAATAAAGTTGCTGCAGAAACTGATGGCCAAAATTATCTGGCCTTGTGCTATGCAGATCAGAATAAGGAATCACAGTATTTCTGCTTAGTTTTAAAAGGATCGCAGAAAGAGGCACTGGACTGTAAAGAACTGGGTGTAAAACTTGTTACCAGGAGCAAGCCACAACTGGTTTTAGATGGTCCTGTAAACTCAGTGGTAATCCCTGCTCGCACAGAGGTAGGAAAGCTGGCTGCAGCAGCAACTAATTAGCATTAATTGTGCTTCCTCTGATGGGGCTAATCCTAGCCAAGTGCAGCCAGACACCAATTTTCATACATTGTCGTTGTGACCATTTTACTATCAAGCTGTTCCTTAGTGACGTACATTTATTTATGGCACAGGGCCTACAAAAGCAGCCGAGCATCCTGCTTTAGGAAGCCGCTGGAGCGTGGTCTGTAGGAAGAGCTCCTATCCTTTACCAGGCTGACAGATACACCAGGGAGGGGCCAGACAGGCTTGCCAGCACACAAGTCCATTCCCAGGTCAGGCATGAAGATGCTTCTTCCAAGCAGAGGTAGGTCAGGAGCAACTACTGTGAGCTCAACTTAATTATGCTAATCAATCAGGCAATTAGAGGGATAAGGATGATGGCTTGTGGGAACAAAGAAGTAGCTAGCTTTTTTGGGCTAGTTATCAGCTGAGTTTAGGCTGGGAGTAGAGGTGGTGGGGAAAATTGATATAAAAATCTCTGATTGTGTCCATGGCTTTAGATGTCGTGGAGGTTATGATTTTTAGATTTTAGGCTTATCCAGAGCCCAGACTTTGCCATGTGGCAGAATAGGTACACTGATGGAGATGCAGTTTCTTCTGGCTGCTGCCTGCTTTGAGCTGGTGCTGTCAGATGCATGGAGTATCAGTGTTCCTTATTTATTTGTGTTACAGGAGATCCCTGCCCTCTCCCCACACTGACTGAGAAAGCTGTAGCTCATCCCTGGGACCATTTCACATTTGTCATTCTGACAGCCAGAAAGCTGGATCACGTTTGGATCCTCTCATAGCCACACGGTTGTGCATGTCCCTGACCTGAGCAAGCATGTTATCTTTTGCACCAGCTACTCACAAACTGACTTTCACCTGTGGATTTGTGCCTGGCACAGCCAAGGTTTCAAAATCATCAGGAGAATGACGGGCCAAAATGTGACCAAGATTGAGAAGTTTGCCCTTGTACCCCTGTGCCATGGCGCAGATAAGAAATGCCAACTTTTTGAGGGCCATAAATCTGCATAGCCAGAATGAAGGAATAGCATAGAGGAGAGTCTGTTTGGGCTCAAGAATCTCTTCCAAAAGTGTTCTTGATTTGAAGAGCTAAAGCATTTACTGTGTCCCTTGAAAGTCATTTTATCTACGTCAGTTACCTTGACTGGAAAAACACAAGCAAAGAAAGAGCACACCCTTCTTAAAGCAATAGGTATCACTCAATAAAGGGCACATTTTTTATCCTTCCTCAGGTCTGAAACAGAAGCAGCAGATTTGAAGGTTACACCCAAGCTGCTCAGTATTGCATTAGGTGTGTACTAGTGAGGTCACCTCTGCAGGAAAAGGTGTCTGATACCTGTGACAGAGAGGAGAGAAGAGAGAAGTGGAAGGGGATGTCTCAGAAGGGAGGGAGATCAGTGTCTCCTGATGAGGAGGGTTGTAATGGCTGCAGCTTTCCCGGCCTGGAAGTGAAGAGCACCTTCAGGCCAGGCCTGCAGGGATAACATGTTAGCCTGCTCTGTTTTCTCCT